GGGGATCAGTGGGGGAAAAGGAGACCTATGTAAAACTTTAGACAATAAATAAAAAATAATAAAATTGGACAACAGCAACTCGCTGTTCCAATGTCTTTGTGGGAATCTGTACTTTATCCAAGATCACTAGTTATTAGAAAGCTTTGTGTCAAATTAGAGTTGGGCTTTTGGGGTTTCAATTTTCCAATGACAGCCAAGGAGAAGATGCCTTCTTTCTTTCCCTATAAAAAGTTATAATGTATGGACAAACACCTTGTGTATAGAAAATGAGAACAGCCAAAACCAGTTTGGCTCAGTGGTAGAGCGTCGGTCTGCAGACTGAAAGGTCCCGGGTTCGATTCCAGTCAAGGGCATGTAGTAGATTTCTTTAAAAAAAGAATCACACACATTAAGAAAGATAATGACTACAGATTGAGGTTCTTGGTCTAATGAAATGAAGGCTCCTCATACAGACACACCATCACCATGGCTCCTCCAGTGAGGGGTGTCCACTCTTACCTTTAAGTGTTGAGAGATTTCATAAAAAGGACCCCAATGAATTAGGCAGCTTTAGTGATTCAGGGTGAGACCAGATCAGTAATGACCACAAAGGTGTCCAAGTGCAGATCCCTGGACCTGTGAGGTGTTACATTCTTGAACAGAAACACTGTGAGAATGTGCATGTAGGAAACAGGAAACTCCTTCCCACCAGTTTGCAATAACATGTTCCTTACTTCTCTTGATCCCGGCCTACAAGATCTTTAGTGATTTTATATTTAACAACTCCTGCTCATAATTATTCAGGGATATACTATGATGACACAAGCTGTCTCTACCATGCCCTACAATTTCTTCTGGGCCTTCACTGGAGGAGGCTTTAAGCCCATACGTTCCGTAACTCTCTGTCCATGAACATCAATCATATTTCTGTCATGTGCCTCAAACTAGTCTAGTTTCCTCCAATCACCCAGACCCATAGTCAAGTCCAGATTTATGGGTATCTTCCCAGCAGTGCTCCTCTCTGGTACCAGAACCTACTCCAGTCCTGTAGATGCTGTAACCAAATTACATGGAGACTGGAGGCTGAGCATTTTTTTGGGCGTTCTCTGTAAAATCTGCCAAAGCAGGTCCTGATAAAGGAAATATTGTTAAATTATACTTGGCTAAAATTAAAGCATTTTTATCCCAAAGATTCCATTGAGCAAATTAAAACACAAAATAAATATTCCATTGAACAAACTAAAATACACACATAAATATGAGGAACATATTTCAAAATCATATGTCTGATTGGAGAATGAATATATATATATATATAAAGTCCCAGTGCATGAAATTCATGCATGGCGGCGGGGGGGGGGGGTGTCCCTTGGCCCAGCCTGCACCCTCTCCAATTTTGGACTCCTCGAGGGATGTCTGACTGCCTGTTTAGACCTGATCCCAGTGGGATCAAGCTTAAATGGCAGTCAGACATCCCTCTCATGATCCAGTACTGCTGGCTCCCAACTGCTCGCCTGCCTACCTTCCTGATTGCCTCTAACTGCTTCTGCCTGCCAGCCTCATCACCCCCTAACCACTCTCTTGCCAGCCTGATTGATACCTAACTGCTTCCCTGTCAACCTGTTTGCCCTTAACTGCCCTCCCCTGCAGGCTGGATTGCCCTCATCTGCCCTGTCTTTCAGGCTTAGTCCCTCCCAATTGCCACCCACTGCTGGCCATCTTATGGTGGCCATCTTGTGTCCACATGGGGCAGCCATCTTTGACCACATGGAGACAGCTATTTTGTGTTGGAGTGATGGTAAATTTGTGTATTATTATTTTATTAGATAAGATAGAGGTCTGGTGCACAGGTGGGGGCCAACTGGTTTGCCCTGAAGGGTGTCCCGGATCAGGGTATGGGTTTCCCTTGGGGTGTGGGGCATCCTGGGTGAGGGGTCTGTGGTGGTTTGCTTTGCAATCCGACCATGCCCACCAGCAACCCAAGTGGAGGCCCTGGAATCTGGTATTTATTTATCTTCTATAATTGAAACTTTGTAGCCTTGAGTGGAGGCCTAGGCCAGCCAGGGTGTGAGGAAAGCTTGACTTCCTCCATTGCTGGGGAAACCTAAGACTCCTGCAGCCACCTTGGTTGGGTTAATTTGCATACTCACTTCTAATTGGCTGGTGGATGTGGCTGGTGGTGTAGCAGAGTGATGGTTAATTTGTATATTAATTTGTATATTGCACTTTTATTAGATACCATATATACATTAAGGATGTTATATGCTTGTGGGAGAGCCCAGCACCCTCTGACCAGATTGACCTACCAGGAGGACAGAAGGAGGCTGGGAGTAAGGGATGACTCTCAGGGTTGAGGTTTCCTTTCCTGTGAGAAATTCTATGGTGGAATTCTCTTCACTCTCTTGCCAGCCTGATTGATACCTAACTGCTTCCCTGTCTCTGAGCCCCAAAATTACTGATAACACTAGACAGAGAAAATAGATTAATGTCTTTTCATCATCATTTCAATATAGGAATGATTCTGAGTTGTGCATATTCATGACCATTGATTTTATTTCTTGTCTTTTATCCACATAAAGCCACAACTTTTTCTGATGTAACTAGTTTTGGGTCTCTTCAATAGGATTTTGCATAGAGAGGTTTCACAGTGAGCTGTAGACAAAATCACCAAATTTACAAAATACAGATCAAAGAATGTGTCACCTGCCTGTTCTTGGAGGTAGTTACTCAGATGAAAATAACATCATAAACTAAGATATATGATATTGAGAGTAGCTATCCTTTATATTTTTCACAACAGTAGGAACTTTTTATGTAAAATTAAATTTAAAAAAATTGGAAATTGTGAATACCATGAGATTTTGAAAATCAGAAAATGTTAGAACAAATGCTAATCATTTTCACATCTGTTTGAAAGATGCATGAGTAGTTAAACCTGTAAACTACTCATCTAGTCACAATTTCCTTTTATGCTCAGAAATTTAGGCAAATTTTTATTTAATTCCAATGTGCTTCATGACCCATGTGGTCCCCTTTCCCTGATTTGCATAGTGAGTGAGGTCAAATGAAGCGATGCCCCCATAAGGGCTTCAGAATGACCATGGAATTCAGACCTCAGGCCCTACACTTATAGGAAAGGCTGCCTCACATGCAAATTTCTCTTCAAGATCCAGGATAAATCCTCTCTTGAGCTGTGCAGTCTCACAGCTCTCTTCTCACTCAGGGTTAAGGTCTTTGGGAAGGCAGAGCTGTGGTCTAGAAGAAGATGAGACTGCTGGGTCTTCTCCTCTGCCTGCTGACAGCCCCGCAAGGTGAGGGTCCTGTCCCAGGTGCTCCTGCAGGAGTCGGGGCCAGGACTGGTGAAGCCCTCGCAGACCCTCTCTCTCACCTGCACTGTCTCTGGTTACTCTATTACCAGTAATTATTGCTGGGATTGGATCCATGAGCCTATGAGAAAGGGGCTGGAGTTGATGGGGTGCATGTGGTATGATTCAGATACTAAGTACAGGGCCCATGAGTGACCTGGTGTTTGTGGAGGGGCAGGAGGTGCACAACGGGAACACTGTCATACTTTACAGTCTTCCCATGTCACTCAGGTTTCCTTGTCACTCAGATTCCTGTCACTCAGATGTCCTATCACTCAGATTTCTTGTGTCACTCAGATTTTTGGAGAGCAGCAGCCTAGTAAGACCTGCTTGAACCAGAGGAGTCATGTCATTATCTTCCTGAAGACACTGTCAGCCTCCCTGAGCCTGACATCCTGTCCTCCAGGACTCCCTCCAGGGCCCTGTCACAGTACACATCACAGGGAAGAAGGAGGAGAACACACAGGTGCTCACAGGTTTAGAGAAGAAGAGTCTCCACCACAGGTAGGATGCCAGCCTGCAAAATGTTTTTTCAGTCTCCACAGTCTTCCCTCCAAGTGGGTGAGAAGTCCCTGGTCCCAGAAAGGGATTTGTTCACAGTTGGGCACATTTAGGGATCCATGAGATTAAGGGTGTGACTGCTGCCCTGCCCTGGGAGTGCTCACAGCTCTGGCCCAGCTACAGAAGAAAGCCTTTCTGTGCAGGTGGGGACATGTGACTGCTGTTCATTTGGGAATATGGTGGCAGCTCCCAACAGGCATAGAGAGAAATCAGTATGGCCTGGGCAGGGTCTGCTCTGCTCTCTATTGGATTAAACATGAACAGGGAAAATTGCATCATTTAAATGCCTGATGAGGACCAGGTAATGTAGGGGCTCTGGGTTTAGATATTCCCAACTAACAGCCACACCCAGCATCCTACTCCCCAGAGCATTGGACATATTTAGCAAATACAGAGGCTTCCGGAGAGGCAATGATGAATGCCACGTCTGACCCCAGGTCCAGCTGCAGCCATGAAAGTTATTGCTGACCTCCTAAAACCCATATAGAGATGTCCATGCACATTAGGGCTGGAGAGGGCCACAGACCTCTAATAATAGAGTAAACAGACAGGGACTATAGGGTTCACAACAGTGGTCCTGGGCCCAACACAGACCTCAGGTACATGTGACAGACCTGGGGGAACATGAATCCCCTTATGTGACCACATTCGAGGTGAAGCACTGCCTTCTCCCTGGTAGCAAGGACACTGGGGCAACAGAAGGATCCCACCCTGAAGTGGGGGTAACACCATAGCATATATTCTCATTCATGCTCTCATCTCATGCCAGAGTTCTGCACACTCACCGAGCAGGTTCTGCTCTGCCCTGGGGTCAGTTTATGGGGGCAATGGGAGTCATGGGAAGTGCTCAGCCCAGATACTGGGCTCATTGTTACCAGATGTGGACACTTGACAAATCTCCATAACTCCTTATCATTGTATATTAGTTACTGACATGCTATCATGACCAGGATTCTAACTCAGGACATTCATACCTGGATAAAGGCACTGTCCTTATTGTAGGTCTCCAACCCCAGAGAATCCTATATAGCAGGAGGATATGCAAATAGGGCCCCCTTTTCTCATCAAACAAGCCCAACCCTGACCCTGTAGCTCTGGGACAGGAGCCCAGTCCTCGGCCCCCAGGTGTCCCCATTCCCTGATCAGGACTCAACACAAACCATTCACCATGGGGTTTGGCCTCAGCTGGGTTTTCCTTGTGGCTCTTTTAAGAGGTAATTTTTGGAGAACAAGAGACACTGAGTATATGATTAGACATGAGTGAGAGAAACGGTGGACCTGTGAGAGTTTTCTGACCAGGACATCTTTGTGTTTGCAGGTGTCCAGTGTGAAGTGCAGCTGGTGGAGTCTGGGGGAGGTTTGGTGCAGCCTGGCAGTCTCTGAGACTATACTGTGAATCCTCTGGATTTAGCTAAGGCATGAACTGGGTCCACCAGGTTCCAGGGAAAGGGCTGGAGTGGGTGGTAGTTTATGGAGTGATGGAAGTATGACATACTATGCTGACTCTGTAAAGGACCGCTTCACCATCTCCAGAGACAATGCTGACAATACACTGTATCTTCAAATGTGCAGCCCGAGAGCCCAGGACAGGACCATGTATTACTGTGCCAGACACACAGTGAGGGGAAATCAGACACAAAGCCTCCCTGCAGGAGAGGCTGTGACCACCAGGGGGCGATCAGAATCAGTGAACACAAGGAGCATCCCAGCAGCAGGTGCAGTTGGAGGTTTGGGCTGGTTTCCTGTGTAGTTTCCTCTTCATGTCACACTTTCCCTCAGGGGAACCACTGGATTCCAGATTCTATGCTTACCTCTGAAGTTTATTAATTTGAAATTCTGTTGTAAAGAAATACAACTTTTTTGCCCAAATGATAATTAACGATCTAACTAGAGGTCTGGTGCATGAAATCATGCACATGTGGGGTCCAGCTGGCACAGATAGCAGCTATGGAGGGCTGGGCTGGCAGGTGGAGGGATGCAGGAGGTTGGCTGGCCAGCCTGCACTCAATCAGGGTGGCAAGGGGGGGTAATCAGTGACAGGGTTGGCCTGGGGGAGGGATTGTAGGCAATTTTGGGGATGTTATCAGAGCCCCACTGGGCTGGTTGGCCACTGCAGTGCATGTCATAATGACTGGTCGTTCTGTTTGTTCCAGTAATTCTGCTGTTCCGGTTACATGGCTTTTATATAGAGAGAAAGATATTCTCACCCATGTCACTTAAATCTAGCCAGAGGCTCTGCTGACTTGACAGTGCAGCTCAGCCCCACCCAGATCAGGACCCAGCCAGCCAGCAGCAGGAGACAGCTCCCAACAGGCACAGGATGGGCAGCAGGCTTCAAAGAAGTGTGACCCCAAAGCTAGGGAAGAAGAACATGGGTGGTGAGGTTTACTCACTTGTCATCATATTTGTAGCACCAATTGGAGGCACCATCGGGAGTTGGTAGAGGGACCCACCATACATTGGAGTGTATGTGCAGGCTGATCATGTCTCTCACACAGAGGGCCCTTGGATAGGTTTATTTCATCACTTGCACATCTACTGTGAGCAGGGCAGGCTTTTCAGACAGTCATAAATGGATGCCTGTTGGCTTCTGTGCTGTTGGGATGAGCTCCTGGAAGGTGCTGGCCATTCAGTTGATCTCTAACCCCCCTCCAACTCTTCCCTACCATCCTGCTGTAGTTCGTCATAAAGGTTTTAATAAGAACTAGATTTAGCACAATTGCTGATACCTGGAGCACATTTGAGCTGGCGATGGGAGATTATTTGTTTGAACTGCATTCTGGAGAGGACTATTCTAGAGAGGAAAACAACATTGCCCACATCATAGAACTGCTAGGCAGTGTCCCACAACACTTTGCTCTACCTGGAAGATACTCTCAGGAATTCTTCAATCTCAGAGGAGAACTGTGGCATATCACCAAGCTGAAGTCCTGGAGCTTCCTTGATGTACTTGGGAAAAGTATGGGTGGCCCCATGAAGATGCTGCAGTTTACAGATTTCTAGATTTCAATGTTAGAAATTGTTCCAGAAAAACAAGCCTCAGCTGGCAAATGCTTTCAGCATCCTTGGCTGAATTCTTATCAGATTCTACAAATACAGTATTCTGAGCTAGCTAATATTTTCTGGTACATTGGACCTAACCAGTGATTCATTAAGCTGGCTTCATCCTTAGAGCTTTATTTAGCTTTGAGGTACTGTCATTTGACATTTTGCTTTTGATGGGAACTCCAATTTCAGGGGAAAAAAGGAAAGAGAAAGAGAGAGAGAGAGAGAGAGAGAGAGAGAGAGAGAGAGAGAGAGAGAGAGAGAGAGAGAGATGTACCTGGTGGCCTGGCTCAGTGGTTGAGTGTCACAGTTCCATGGCTGGTCAGGGCACATGCCCATGTTGCAGTCTCAATCCCAGTGTGGGTCATGCAGGGGGTAGCAGATTGATAATTCTCTCTCAACATTGATGTTTTTATCTCTCCCTCTCCCTCACTTCCTCTCTGAAATCACTGAAAAAAATATTTTTTAAAAAGGAAAGGAATGTTTGGATCCCCCATGTAAGGACACTGATCTGATTCAGGGTTTTATTGTGGATCAAGATGGGGGCAGGGAGGTTCCTGAACACAGAGGGGCTTGTGTGGTATAAATGCCCCACCTGTAGGACACAAGGGGCATCCTGCTTTCTTTTCCATTTTCCCACATGCACAGGAGAAGAGAGAGAGAGATAAACCTTAACATGTTAGCATCAAACATCAAAAATAGAGCCTGGGAAAGAACCAAGATGGTGGCATAGGTAAATTTGGGTAATCCCCACCTACCACAACCACATCAAAATTACAACTAAAATACAGAACAACCATCAATAAGAACAGCCTGAAAGCTGAAAGAACAGAACTCCTACAGCAAGCAAAGGGATTAAGACAGCACATTGGAAAGGAGGAAATAAAACTGTCATTATATTCAGGTGACATGATATTTATTGTACATAGAAGACCCTAAAGACTCCACCAAAAAACTATTAGATTTAATAAATGAATTTGGCAATACAGCAGGATACAAAATTAAAACCAAGAAATCGATAGTATTTTTATACACCAATAATGAATTGTGAAAAAGAGAAACTAAACAAACAATATCATTTATCATTGTAACAACAACAAAATTAAGATACTTAGAAATAAAACTAACCCAGGAGGTAAAAGACTTATATTAAGGAAACTACATGACTTTGAAAAAATAGATAGAGGAAAACATAAATAAATGTAAGAATATACACTGTCCGTGCCAACTGGTTTGTCTCAGTGGATAGACGTTGGTCTTTAGACTGAAAGGTCCCAGGTTTGATTCCGGTCAAGGGCATGTACATTGGTTGCGGGTACATCCCCAGTGTGCAGGAGGCAGCTGGTCAATGTTTCTCTCCTATCGATGTTTTTAGCTCTTTCCTCCTCTTTGTGAAAAATCAATAAAATATATATTTTTAAAAAAAGAATATTCAGTGCCCATGCATTGGTAGAATTAACATCCTTAAAATGTCCATACTACCAAAGACAACCTATAGATTTAATGCAAACCCTACTAAAATAACAGCAGCATGTTTCAAAGAGCTAGAAGAAAACACTACAAACATTTATATGGAACCAAATAGCTGTAACAGATTTGAGAAAGAAGAAATGAGTTGGAGGGATAGCAATTCTAAATATAAGGTTATAGTACAAAACAGTCTGGTGCTGGGATAAGAACAGGCATCTTGACCAGTGGAACACAAAAATGACCCCAGAAATAGACCCTAGCCATTACACACATTTAATACTTTTCAAAGTAAACAAGAACTTACAACGGAGTACAAAAAGACTTTTCAATAAATGTTATGGGGTAAATTGGGCAGGTACATTTAAAAAAAATGAAAATAGACCACCAACTTACACAAGAAACAATTTAATTTGGATAATGACTGAAATGTAAGCAGGGACACTATAAAAATCCTAGAAGAAACCATAGGCAGCAAAATGCCAGACATCTCTAGTAGCAACATGTTTATAGGAACATCTCCTAGGGCAAAGGAAACTAAGTAGAAAAAAAAAAAATCAGACTACATCAAAATAAAAAGCTTCTACACAGAAAAGAAACCAACAAAATGAAAAGAGAGCCCACTGTATAGGAGAACATCTTTGGCAATGATGCACCTGATAAAGGGTTAATATCCAAAATACATAAGGAAATCATACAACTTAAGAAAAGGAAGACAAACAATCCAATTAAAATATGGGCAAAAGACCTACATTAACACTTCTCCAAAGGGGATATACAGATGACCAAGAGACATATGAGGAAATTCTCAAGTCACTAATCATCCAAAGATGCAAATTAACCAGAAAATTAGGTATCACTCCACAGCTGTTAGAATGATTACCATAAGCAAACCAACACATCATGTGTCGAGCACTTGAGAATGTGGAGAAAAATGAACCCAGGTACATTGCTGGTGGGAATGCAGACTGGTACAGCCACTATGGAAAACACTATGAAGTTTCTTTAAAAAATTAACTATGGAACTGCCATTTAACCCAGTGATCCCACTTTTAGGAATATATCCTAAGGAATGGGAAATACCAATCAGAAGGAATGCCTGCACCCCTATGTTCATAGCAGCAAACTTCAATAGCTAAGACCTGGAAACAGCCCAAGAGACTATCAGTATATGAGTGGATAAAAATCATGTGGTATATTTATACAACAAAGTGTACTATATAATAAAGAGGTAATATGCAAATTTACCACCATGCTTTTGCACAAGATGGCCACACCCATGTGGTCACAAGATGGCCATTACAAAATGGCCGGCAGAGGAGGACAGTTATGGGTGATCAGGCCAGCAGGGGAAAACAGTAGGGGGCCTAAATCAGCAGTCTGACAACCCCTGAGGGGTCCCAAATTGTCAAGATTGCAGGCTGGACTGAGGGACAGCCCCTCCCCCCCATTGCTTAAATTTCATGCACTGTGCCTCTTTATTATAATATATACCCATAATAATGAAATGGTAATATGAAAATCAACCAAATGACCAAGCAGCATCTGGATGACCTTCCGGATGACCACGCTATGACATGAACTGGTGCCAGGCCTGCCAAGGTGGTGTGATGCAATTGGTCTGGGGCCCAGCCATCACCCCAAGATTGCCCCACATAGGGAGGCCCAGACCACCCTCCTGGCTGCACTGAGGCAGGTGTGT